ATGCCTTTTCTATATATAGACTTGAAAAAGATCGAAAGGCCCAATGTTGCAAGAGTATCCAAAAAAAAAGTTTCGAAAATTAATAGACAACAGGCAGTTTTACGTTGACATATGAATAAATACTATCATGCTAACCTAGCCCACTAAAAATAATGAAAAGTGATTTGCTATTGCTAATTCTCTGTAATTTAGAATTAAATCATTTCTATGTTAAGTTTAAAATAAGCTACGATAATTATCGTTAATCAGCGTCAAAATCCCTTTTTCCAATTCGAAAATATTCCAATGAAATAGTGCAGAGAAATCAATGAAGTTAATATGGCCTTAAGTCTGTCTCGTACAATTTTAATAGATGTCGGCTTGATCATTTTTTGATAGCTTAGATTTCAACTTTTCACTACGAATGGTTGTATGTTCCAAGCACAAAGTTCTCGCGAAAAAGCTACCACCTGGGTGGCTAACCCAAATTTAACTCCTTTTTGCCAGAATATGGTCTTTCACTAATGAAATTAGGCGCTGTAAAATAACGTAACCAACTTCCTATGGAACCGAAATCAAACGAGTATTTTTAGCAACATACTTTTGAAATTTGCATAATCACACGCACCCCCTTGAATTCCTCTTTTTAAAAAATACATTTTGAAAGGAGTTGAGAAGGAATATTAGGTCACTGTCAAGTATGTTATTGCAGTATTTGAGTATCCCTCAATTAATTAGCTTTGAGAAATATTAAAGCTTTCTAGGGTAAGAGAGTTCAATCGGATTGAGTGGCATTTAGCTGGTCCTTATATCCTTATAACTTAAAGTGGCAAAGAAATTTTAGCCTTTCAGTATTACTTTTACAGAAAAAGAGTTAAAGTATATGGTTTTTTGGTCATCGTCCAGCGAAAATCCATGGCTATACTGGCTTTTAACCAGTTTACATGAGTTTAGACTTTTACAGGAAAACAACTTAGAACAGCCTGTACTTCATTTTGCTAATTCGCTACCAAAAAAAAACGGAACATCTTGATTTTGCAGTAAATTTTACCAGAAAACCATCTGAAATGAGCTATTTTAGCACGTGAACGTTGCTGATTGCAAGCAACAGCGGTACACGTCCACCATAAACGGAGAACAGATGGTGCTTGTATCTGGAAACGAAGTCGAGGAAAGCTATGATTTAGGTGACGCAATAGAAAAATGCTTTTTTACAATCAAGTAATTCTGATTTTGAAGGAAGAGCACTCACAAGTGATCCATGGATTGAAACAGCAGTGTATCAAGGCAGGGATGTAAGAGTTGAGCATGCTGAGGGTACTAGCATCTCGGTAGGTAATTATTTTCCAAGCTTGGCATTTCTTCTTCAGTCTTTTTTTACGATTTTAAGATTTTTTAGGTTTACATGACATCAGAAACCCGACCTCACATGTTGCGTCACATCTCGCAAATGGAGTCTTTCGATGGAATCATCCAAGTTGATCGCGACAGTAACCGCTATTTGAATATCTCTTTTCTCGTGAGTCCTTTAATATTTTGGAATATGAATAGTTAACTAGTCTGAAACATTTAGGGAACAAAAGGGACGTTAATAGGGAACATTTTCTCATCGGAGAAGAAGGATCAAATTGATATGGCATTTTCAGTCCAAGGTATGATAGTGTACTATTTATGAAAGTTATTTAGTGTTCAGCTTTGAATCATAGAAAAATTTGCAGTAGAAGGCTCGAAACTTCGCGACTACAGATCTATAATATCTATACCTTCATCGGTAAATAGCAGTAGATATGTGTGTTTTCATCCATCTGGAGACATAGAGGGAGAAATGTGCAAGTGGTTCAGGTGGGTGTTTAAAAGCAAACTCTTAAAGATTTTATTTCGTTCAGGAAAAGTGAAATGATGAAAAAATGACATTTTGTTTCTTCAGGTACGAAGCTCAGCGTCTCAATAGTTACCGTGTAGCTCACAAATGGCAGAGCGGTAAAGGCGAGTGTGCAGGGTAAGATAAAGATTTACTCAAATTCGTGTAGCATCCAGCATAACCTCGAGACTTTTCTAGATGTAATGAGCGAGGTGTTGAATCGTTCTTGACATCACTGGACCCTCGCCAATGGCTGAACGGCATTTCCTCACCCGTCGAATTCGCTACGATGGCTGTTGAAATCCTGATTTTCGCTTGTCTCCTTTTCGTATTTGTCGTCATTTGCACCAAATGTTTCATCCCATTAGTATGCTGTTCAATCTCCGTAGTAAAAACTCCTAAGAAGAAGTAGTAGATATTTCTGGGTACTGGTATACTTACTCTCCCTAGGCATTTATTGATTGCCCAGCTTCCCCTTGCCAAATCCTCAGTGTTTACCGGTAATGTACGTATTATTCTATTGGATTCTAGCCAGAAAACTGCTAAGCAGTGCCTTCTAACCAGCCTTTCTTCCATGTATACTTAATTGTTGCATCTTTCAAGCCAAACTTTCACAAAAAACCCATCAGGAGATGATCTTTGCCAATTTTAAATTTATGTGATACGAATGTTCATTATACTATTGCTGTTGTACATTTTATCAATCCGGTTACTTTATTGCTGATGTATGTTGATATTGATTATAAATGTATAATAATAATTGCATTTAAAGTATTAGAGGGCAGAGTTAGTGAGAAATGAATGAGAGATCGTTATAGTAAAGAAATGAGTAGGAAATTACAAGTCAGAGATACCAAACAAATGATTTCCAGGGGTGTTCTTGTCGTTGGAGTAGAAAAGGTCATTGAAATAACGAGACCACATCTCCTTACTGACGTGGGTTAATGGCTTCCCATGCTCGTCCTGAAATTTTTGTTGAAGAACACTTAAATTGCTTAGTTGTAAATAACGTTAGAAAAATGGTTTCTAAAGTTTTTCTAATGGG